AAGTTAGATAACCATATCATGACAATTCTGCGGTACTACATCAGGTCTATGGTTCAATTAGCTCAACTCATAATTAGTAAAAGGTGTACTTACAGTCCGTTCTATCATATTTTGTCTCTAATTTCTGGATGTCACCCCAAACTTTGTGTTGAGATTGAGCCTAAGTAGTTGTTTGAGGAGGGGTCCAGCAGTGTTTAGGATGTTGTTAGTCGCTAGAAAGTCACCTGTGAGACGTCTATACTCTAGTGAGTATAGATTTGATGATTTGAGGCGCTCTTCATAAGGTTTGAATTTAACTTTCCGAACTGATTTCGTGGCTCGCCATCGGATACTTTCCTGTGTATTCTTGTTCTTTTGGAGTGAGAAGGAAACACGGTGTTTCCATTCTCTAGATGGAGTCGAATATAACTTTTCAAGATAAGGTAGAAAGTTCTTTCGTCATACTGACCAAAAGTGCACTTTAACCTTACCAGTAAAAGGTTTGCTCGAAAAGGATTTCTGTCACAGTTATTGCAAGAATTAAAATTATAGGGCACCAACACTCTTGGGATACCTCTAGAGAGGGAGTTATTTAAGTTTTATTCGTGGTCTGCAGACGGATTACTTTACACTTTGGAATGTTAAAGGTAATCCTGTTGGTGTTGAGTCAGGTACTCATGAAGCTGAAGATTATCCTTTTGGTCGCAAACTTCTTTACAGAGTTTAAAAACATCAGCGAAAATTGGTTACTCTACTGCGGAAGATCGTTTATGGGAATTAAGAAAATATGTCTTAGTACTGAGGGTCGGTGGACCTCGATAGGACATTGCATGGCCTGAGAAAAATTGAAGTTAATATCGACCTTGAGAGATCGAGCTTTTAGATATAAAGTAAGCCAATCAATCAATGGTGATTTGACGTCTAATCGTTTGAGCTTATCGATGTGACATGTGGAACATAGCTTACCAAAAGCTTTTGGAAATCAAGGTCCGTGACATTAACCTTACCTTTGAGAGTAAAGATAGTTGTTCATCTGCTCACCATGGTCGGCAGGTTGATCATACAGGAGTGAATCTTCCTGAAACTGTTCTGCTGGGGTTGAAGATGCCACAGGTATTGGGAGCTTGACAACGCTTTAACCAGTAACACCTTCCATTATGAATCGTACCCACCAAGTGAAGTCAAAAGTCAAAGGTGAGGAGGTTCAAAAATACATTTGGTAGGCTGTCAATATGTCGATGATTGACTGATTTAGACTGGCTAGCGATTGCAGGGGATGTTGAGCACTGCGTTCCCACTAGTGACATTGTCAGGGGGCATGGCAGAGCACCGTCAGCTATGTGAGTCCATTAAAACTAAGGTGGTCAGCATCGAATATCGAAAACTTACAGAACTATTGATTTTGAGGATTTACTTACAGTTACTAGGTGAAAAGATGTTTTACGGATACTAAGTAGTTACATAGACCACAGTACGTATGAGAGACTCGATAACTTTTTAGGGTATATGTACTAAATTTTGATACTTTCAAGTTCTCGCGAGGAAGTTGATTAAAGAAGTTTATCCCTCAGTGTCCAAGATGCCTACCCTATAATGCGAGCAAAGATTACAAGAAAGTAACAGTTGATTGTCCTGCATAGTAGATTTTTAAGTTTGAAAAATAGGACCTCATGAAACTCTTGGCATAAAAATTCAAGATGTTAAGAGCTGGTAATAGATTCGGCAGATAGTTTCACATTGTTAAAGACAACAAATAGAGACACTTATGGTGTTTGGTTTTGTTGGAATGAAGCGGATTGGATTAAATAACAATTCCGGCGGCATTTAGAGTGCTGGCGCGTCCAAGCACAATCCCGAATTATTTTGTTCCCATTGGAGTTTCGCGCGTTATCTCGTTAGTTGTTGAGTTCTTAACTATCACTTTGTTGCATGCCAAATGTATTAAGAACTTCTGTTTATTCATTTGTGTATTGACTCCAGAAGTTGACGGGCTGGAGAGTATTTTTATTTTAATACCAGCTTCCAACTTAGGGAAACGCTTGAGGGTTTTTTTTGTGAGGTTGTCAGAAAATTGGAAAGTCCATTACTTCATGTGCTTTGTTTGTGCCTGGCTTATGGTCATATGGTAGTTATTAATTAGTGGAGCCATCTTTATCATCTAGGGTATTTTAGTCTACCTACTCTACCGTCTAGTTATTCAAGGCTCTTTGGAGCATGTAGCGCTATACATAAACAAATTGGTAAGTGAACACGTTAGGTTTGTGTAGTTTGTTGGATCTTACGGGTGACTATACTTACAATCTTCATATACATGAGTCGTGGTCGTCAGGTCTTATCTTTCCTTAGTGGGTACAAATAGAAACTTTAAGCGGTTTCAAGGGCAGTATAACTCACCTCTTTAATGTGGTCCCCTGTAGTATTTTACGCGGGCTATGGGATCTGTGTATCAAGAATAAAAGTTGGAAATCCTGGGTCTCTTACTAAATTTTCTGTGTTTACACGATTTATCCGTCCTTTTTGGGTTCCATCATCCTACTCTTCAACCTTCACCAATCTTATCTTCACATTTCATCGTTTACGCACATAAGGTTTTGTCAACTTCATCTCGTACCAGGCAAAGAACGAGTACTCTGTGCAGCACTCTGCTCTGCTGTACTTTGTGGGTATGAACCATGAAGATTAGGAATGATGAATATTTGTAAGTTATTGGTATTTAGTTATAGTTTTCGTCAAAGTGTCGCCTGCTTACTTTCGAACCACCAAGTGAGATGTAGTGAAGTTAGGGATAGGGTAAAAGGTAAATGTAAAAATTTGTTAGTCAGTTAATGAGTCTTCCATTGATGTAATCAAGACATGTGTTACGTGTACTCAACTACCACGTTGGTGTAGGAATAGATTGAAAAGAGCTAGGGGTAACCAGGCCAAAATATGGCATCAGTTCATGTTTTCAGGAACTGGGCCAAGCTCACAGATAAAGGTTACCTGGTTGGGGTCCATGCGATTATCGCAACCAGTGTTTGGAGATGCTGTGCGTGGTTTAAAATCGTTCTCGATGGCACAGGTATATTCACTTTTTGTCTTCCCTTGGAGTCTGAGTCCCGAAACCTCCGTATAATTTTCTCATTTCTATTCCTAGTCTTTTCTACTGCTCCTACTGTTACTGGTTTTAATTCTCTTGGATGTCTTGGTAATTTTGTCTCGCTGCTAATAAAGTGTGACAACTCGGACCAGTAAATATATGACTGAACAAGACATATCAGTCAGCTACAACGTAGGACCAGGCACATACGTGCATTGGTCCAAGTTGCTATACCTCATTAGCACAACATGAACATCGAATTCATAGAAGTAGTTAATTCAATGGTGGTAATATATAAAAGAAAGATGGCATATAAGGACATAGTACAGGAAGGAAGGATTAGTTCATAGAAAGAAAGATATGAAGCTATTTTTATCTCACGGTTTGAGGGAAGACAGAGAGTGTATACACCGACGCCATTGTGATCGATTCCGAGCCATGTCACTTGTCAATGTACTTCCGAAACAATTATATTACGGAACTTTCTTATTGACCATTAAGTCCGACCGTTTTGTGCCACTTACTCCGGAGTTCGAAGTCTGCTTCAGTTAAGGAAACTTTGAAGTGTCACTAGCTCACACCTAGTGTTTCTTGTGCTTAAATATCTGGTAAATGACCTGATTTGTCATATTTACTTCGTAACTATAATCACTGCTTTGAATGTAGGAAAAATTTAGTTTATATGTACTCAATCACAAATGTATCGTTGCTTGTGTGTGTTTGAATAATTCACTAAAAGGCACTCATTAAACACGAAGTATTTCTACTTTTATTGAGATGGAAATGAACTTAGCTTAGGGAAGTGATGGTTGACTAATGGCAGGGAATTTTGATTGTAGAGCAAAATATGAAAGGCCAAACAGTATTTTAATTCATCAGGTGTGATACTAAATGTTTCAAAGTGGGGATTCAAAAATGGGACGATTAGGCTTAAGTCGAAAAATACGGAGCTTTGGATTGATGGGTCTAAAATTTGGTAACACACTGAAGGTCATTTTGCAAAAGCATCTCAGGTAGGGACAGCAATCACTACTTATCATTAAAGTTAAATAACATCCCATCTGTCTATTCTTTTACAATTTCTTCTGCAATGGCGTGCTGTCAACAGCACTGAAGAAAGTAAGTGATAGTGGTGGTAATGTCACTTGAGAAAAGTTTCTTTTTAGCCTTGAGTATATTAATAATTCTGTCTTGTCGTACGGTCACATAATAGCTACTCAGATTGTATCTGTCAGCTGGTCAATACACGTAATTATGGAACATTCTTCAGAAAGTGTGATGAGTTTATCAAACAAGTTCATAAGACTTAGGAATTCACAAAATATTAGTCTCATATTTAATAATTCAGCAAGTGACCATGATTCTGTTTATTCTTTCCATATAATAATGTGAATAATATGTCTATTTGAAGCAATAATCTGAATGCAATTCTATAGTGACACTTCTCGTTCTTAGTTTCTAAACCCATATGTGAGCTCTACTTAACTGTAATTGAGATGAATAAAACATTGACCGTTTTATCATTTGAGTTGTACTTTTTTAATATTATCGTGATTATTACTACCACATGCCTTCCGTTCCTTCACAACATCGTTTCGTTTTATATGGCACATTTTGGTGGTGATCTTATATCAAGCTCTCACTTTGTAAACAAATTTATGGTGCTTACATCATTGTTCTCACCTTATGTATATTTTAATATTATGATGGTTTGATTCCATGTGTAATTATATGCTCTTCAAATTAGCTGTTTTTAAACTGGGACTCTGTAGCATGGTATTCTGAATGGCACTACAGGTAATACCAGGTAGCAGTTTTCTCTATACTTTAAATGCTGTAAAATGCTGGTTAAGCGTAAATGTATTTTTCGTGGTTTTGTTTTAACATTGTCTTTTGTAGATTGATTTGATAAAAATATATTTTGACGTCCTGTTATTTAATAATGTCAGCAAGACATTTCGCTTCCAAAGAAAAAGTATTGTCTTCGTAAAAATACTAGTTTTTAGTTATTCAAAATCTTAAAAGAATTTCAAGCACGGTTCAATTCTCCGTTCCGACTCTCTGAAGCGACTAGATGGTGTGAAAGCTACTTCCTACGTGAGGGTGGTAACGTCGAAACTGTTGGCGTGTTTTTAGAATTTATCCTGAGTTTGGGATTCGTTTATCAGGTTGACCAAAACATGTTCTTTTCCAGATACTAGTAAGGTCTTATTTCTTTCCAGATATTTTTCTAGTTTTAACGTGAAAAGGATTGAGGAGTTTTTTAGCACCTTTTGCAGATTGACAGATGGAAGTTCCACAGAAGGTTAGTTTCACTTTTTCTATAAGGTTTAAGTTACCTTTAGCTGTTAGTTGGTTAAGTCTTTCGTTCCGTATTATTTCTCTGCTTAACAGTTATCAAAATCATATTAATTTGTGGGTCCTATCACAATGTTTTGTATACTGGGGGACTTGTGTTTAACCTACTGTCTAATATTAATAACAGAGTACAAAAAGGAAGTCATATCTAACATTCGTGAGTACTGTAGATGGTAAATGAGTTAATACAGAACAGTTGTTCAACGAGACAAAACTCACTTATGAGAAATATTGAAGTTTCGTGTTTTCGTTATAACCACGTAAGTAGGCTGTGTTTATTGAAGTGACATAATTGTAAGTGGGCTTTTCTAGTTCAAGATGATTAAGGACATGGCCTTCGCTCCTGTTTTCTTGTATGTCTTCAGATATGTTGTTAGATGATATGATGAGTCAAATAATTCCGTATCTATATCGATTTCAAACTTAAGTAAATTAGGTTGTGTAGATCGCGTATTGGAATGAACTCTTCGTTTAATCCCAACCACAACACCACTACCCAGAAAAGTGTTCTAATCATTACTGGCTAGAATATTTCTCCGTAAGCTTTGAAAGTGAGTGCTAGATTGTTCTAGTTAATTTATATTTGTCTGATCATACATAAACTGTTATTCTATGTAGTTAACAATAGTTGATTCAAAAAGAGTAAAATGCTTAAGTTCTTAAATTATGTGGTGGTAGGATTGTGTTTATCTGTCATTCAGAAGATAATAGTTCTTGGAATCGTAGTAATTCATATAAAGAGGAATACAGGAGTTAGTTGACTTTTTCCTCTGATTGTACTTCACTGAGGAGTAGTAGCGTAGTGATTAAGGCCCTCAGCTTCTAGTTATTTAGTTGTCGGTTCGAACGCCGCTTCGCCTATTTTGATTTTGATGACCCGATATTATCTTTAGCTTTTGTATAAAATGGTTTGACTCATAGTTGAGTACAATTGAGTTGCATCTATTTTGTCTAAATTGAGGCAGTTTAATCCACTTTTATCAAAGTAACCAATTTTGATAAATTTTATCTTATTTATGCTGGACTACTATGAAACAACTTAAACCATCTGCATATCAAATATTCCTACTTATTTTGTTCATTAATAATGTTTTCTGTTATTCATTATATAGGCAAATGTCAGCTAAAAAGTGCTGATGAGTCTGGCATCCGATCTCTCGATAATTCTCAAGAAGATGTATTTGAAAATAATATCTGTTGTAAATCTGTCTTAACCAATACAAAATCTCATTTATGGTTCGAAGAGATAATTAGACGGTAAACTACTAAAAATGGGTTTTTTATACTTAAACTTTAAAAATTTATAATCTGACTTATTCGTACAAAATAAAACACTATGGAGTAATATAATAATCATTTACCTACTTTATAATGTAGTTGAACATTTGAATTTTTCGCTAGCACAGTCTTTTCATTTTTCTTCATCTTTATTTTTATATGATCAGTTTGTCCTGCGTAATGGAAACAAATAGAAATGAACTGATGTCAATAATGGGATCGTCGGACACTGATTCATCTACCTCATCACTGCCTAATGATTTTTCAATAGATATGGGTACTGCCGCTTACACAAACAGTATAGCGTTAGAAAATTGGCATAATTGCTTAAAGAATTCAACTGGGAAATTAGTCAGTCATGTGGCTATTACTTGTCTAGATGCATTGTCCAAATGTAAGCATCATTAATTATGAACTCAAACTATGGTTGTTTTTATAGGGCCAAATAATATCGGTCATCAATCAAAAGTTTGTGAAAGAAAACGTCTACCAAGTTCACTTCTATCCATTACAATTTCCCATTTGGAAAACTTTCAACATTGCTGCATCCCAAAGACAGCAGAATTACTTCTGGATCATATTTTTTGTGAGTTGGTGATAATCTTTTGTGTGTATATTTTAAACTATTTGTAGATAAGCTTTGCACTTTCTATAGATTATCATCTGTTCTAGGTCTAAAATTGAACAGTAAAAGTAAGGTGACGAGTATAGTCGAAATATTGTGTTTATAAGAGACGAACTTGCATTTATTTTTTATTTATTTAAACACTGATACAAATGAACACCAAAGTATGCTCCATTCAATAAAAATGAAATGGTGGAGAGATAAAGGAAGGTGAGAGTAGCAAATGATAAATAAAACCATTCACTTAAGAAAAATACAGTCAGAAAAGATTTTTTTCAGTTAATAAGGTCCCTCTCACTTTCATGAAGAAAGCAAAGAAAATTACATTAGGATCAACACCGGTTTATATTCTGATCCATGTTTGATAAGATTTCAAGCCATTGAGTTGCACTATCTCTAGGACTCCACTTCTGTCGTTTTGAATGATATTCGTGTTTAGTTTTTTTTCTATCATTGATATTACTATGATTTCCATTCTTGACTGCTCATCTTATCAATCTCATCTTACTATATTGTCGGGGTTATGACAAGTTGGATGGTTTCACATTTATGCTACATCTTACATTGACTATAGCTGACTGGAACTGACAGTTAAAAAATACTGTGGTGCATATTGTCTTACATTTTCAAAAATCTTTGTTTTCGATTGTATCTTCATTCATCTAATGATTTCCATACTTCAGAATCTGGTTGAGCTATTAGCTTTTTGTTGGTCTCATGTTCAGTAATAAGTCAAATAGCGAGTTCCATGCTGATTGAATGTATTTTCTGTGGAGATTGCGAAAGTCTTGCTTATTTGAAACATTTTGTCCTTAATGTGTATATTTGTGCATTTAAGTTTGTGATCATAAGGTTAGTGCCTAAATAATTTTTTGTTAAGTCCAGAAATATGGTTGACAGTAACTGAATTAATCTTTGATCCAAGGTGTAAAAGTTGTGTTTTCAACCTCTGAATACTTTTCATCATTCACAAATTGTCTAATTTTACAACTTAAAATAAATCCATTTCTAGATGAGCTTTATTTTCATAATCAGTTTACCTTTATACTAATTAAGCTATTCTTTCTTTTTTTAAATGTGTTTTCTATAAATCGAAATATATTATTCATATTTGGTGAATTAATAGTTATTATTGTCTAGAATTTAAGGTTAGTTTATACAAACTATATCATATCGGGATCACTTCTAATCGTTTCTGTAATAACTAAGCACAAAACAACATAAATAATTATTATTAGTAATCAGTTGAGTTTCCATTTATATAATGGAACAGTCTAATACCTTTAGTTCTTTTTAAGAAAAGTAATGATTGGTGCGATTTTGTTTTTAGGCAGCTTTCCAGATGCGAAACTTTTAGCGACAATGAATAGTCTTCTTAAAGGTTGGATTAATTCCGTTTCAAGTAACGCCAATGACTTAAAGCCGTTTGAAAAAACATATTCTCCTAATGTGATAAGTTCACATGGTGGTGATAAAAATAATCTCCAAAATATTTCACTCCCACCTTTAACTACACCTTTAAGGGATACAAACAATTTGCATAAAAAAGTTTATGGACATTCATTATCTAAAGCTTTTACACCTGACGACAACTCATGTAAGTTTATGTATGTTTTATTATAATCTTGAATGTGCATCACAAAGTTAATATGTTATTTTATTTTGTACCTAATAATTGTTTCGACGGAGGCTTGGTGCCTGTGCAATAATGTGTAGTCGAACATTTGACCTGATTATCCTAGCTTTTCGAAAACACTGGAGTTTTTTGTCATCTGTTAGTCTGTGTTTCCATTATTCTCATTTCTTTACGCATATTTCTTTCAAGTGAGACCTGTGTTTTATATCCATGTCGGAGCAATGGAATCACATCTAGCGTCTATCGTTAGTTATACCTTTAAGCTAAATGTTCGTTTTATGGTATGTGATTTAGATGGGCAACTTACGTTTCAGTGATCATAGTCGGATTACATCACGAGATTGTTATGTTCAATAGTAGGAAATTTGTACGGTGTTGATAAATTCGGATCGTCTTATGTAACATCCATATTGAATACATATTTAGAGGAGAACTATCGTTGTCGGTCACTTCCATAATCATGTATAAATTAACTTATTACTGTGGCTAAATGTGTAGACCAAATACAGAAATTTGTATTTCGACGCACATGACAACGGCTTGACTTGATTTATTAAAAGTATTTATAGACCTGTCAGCAACCCTTTTCGCAACATTCTCGCCTAACTGTTCTTTTTCCGGGGTTTAAGTCACGCTCATTTTTCAAGGACATCGATGTTACACAGGCACCTAAAACTAAGTATATGGAGGTAAGGTCAAACTTGCTACCTTGTATTTGAAGGTTTAGTGCGTAGTCATTTCAAAATAAGTAGAATCGCTTTTATTTTGAGTTGCTGAAACTTGAAAAATTCAAAAATGAAAATAAAAATTATATACAAACGCAACTTCTTGTTATTTGTTAATTTTGACGTATGATATTTCTCTCAAGTTATTTTTTATCTTGTGAGCTGGTTAAACTGCACGTTATTTAAGTTGTTCGATACGATTATGTTCCATGTTTTAATTTATCATTGTAAAATATAATTATCTCCCTTTTTGCTAATGTTATAATTTCCCTTTAGTCACTGAATACCATCCTATTTCTCCGATTGTAAACTGTCTAAGATTTGATGTAAGGGCATCTGATCCTGGTCACGACTGTGAAAATGTAAGCCTATTTTATTAGTATCAGTATACTTTAATGACTATACATATTTTCATTTTCGTACACTGAATTATTTTGTGAATGATTCGATTTCATTTTCTCGAATACATGAAATTTGTTGATTTATTCCTGTTTTGCGGTTTTTTCAAAAATTTAGTATATGAACTCGATACACGCTTACTTACTTAATCGTTCGATGAAACACCATTAAAATGATAAGTTACCATTTTTTAAATTGGTTTTAGCTAGTTTTCTCATTTGTTCTATATTTGAGAAATAAACGGTAGATGGACTCTGGATATAATGTACTGTAAATAGTTGTGGAAAATCAAAACTGTCAAGCGAATTTTCTATACTATCTTCGATGTGTTTTATTATTATTATTACTATTATTTATTATTATTAACTTTGTATTCCTGACCATTTCACAGAACACATGAGAATAACTGATGGAAAAGTATTAAGTTTTTCTGTGATGTAATTTCATTACGTGCATAAAACAGAAAGTTTCTCTAGTTAAGTTAACAGCATTTGATAATTTACTTTTGAAAAATAATAGATAATTCAGATATTGGTGAAAACGATGATTGGTCAGTAGTTTGTTGATCATTCACATCATTTTTCTCATGTTTAATACATCAGTATTTGTATTTCTCAGTTTCTTTCTATTTATTATACAGATTAAATTGTATTTTCCTATATTCAGTCAAAGTTATGAACACCACATCTGATCATTTAGAAACGAAATTAGTCAAAGTGAATTCTAAATGGGTAAAATTCTTTTTTAAACACTTGTGTAAAATCATGTAAACATCAAGTCAGTCGTCATGAGATTTTATTGTCTATTTGTTTCAATTCAGTTAAGTAGTATGTTAATTCAAACGGGGAAATCAAGAAGTCACAGTGTCTCTGAACCAGTTCATCAGTGAGTTACCATGCAAAAAATGTATTATGTTGTTAACTTATGATTTAAAAGATAAAAAATATTGATAACTAAATGTTATTTTTATCCGAAATTGATATTATGTTATACAATTGCTAAAGGTCATCGAACAGCTGTTTCATTGTATTTTGAAGTGTTTGATGGTTATCAATCTACCACAACGCCATTCTGTACGACACAGTTTCATTTCGCTTATCATAATATAGAATTCTTTAATCCTTAGGGTTTCTTTATCTATAGTATCATGAACCAGTGGCTTAGTGATTAAACGACTCAATTTCCAACCGTTTCTTTAAAAGTTCGAATATTCTTCCATCTATAATAATTAAGATTACCGGGTAATATGACTTGCGCTCAATAACGCGAAGCTGTTCTGGTTATAAGTTACACATTTGTAAAAGCAGGTTATCACCATGTTATTTCCTGATGACTTATTTCTGTAACATACAGTTTCATTTAGGGTTGCTTGTAACCTGAATATTTTACAATAGTGGTGCCAGTAAACTAGAAGACAAACCTTCAGAACTTGTGATGAGCATAACAAATCAGTTAAAAGATATAGATTTTCACTGGGTGATTTTGTGTGTGGACGAGTATGGTTTCAACAATCTATGTGCAGCATGCAGTTTTTAATGTATATAAACAAAGGCTTGATCTAATATAAATTTATGCGTGTGAATAAAGAAAGAAAGGAGCAAAAATAGTGAATATATTCAAAAAAGTATATGTGCATATCTATAATGAATGGAGTTAAACAAATTAAATTAACTGGCTACTAGTTATGACACTTCACAGTAAAAGCCGAGATCCTCCGGGAGTCATGAGGCCGATACCTCTTCTACAAGCAGAGCAACAGTTAGTATGGGTACATGGAATGTTCGGATAATGAGGGAGACCGAGAAAACCAGTCATATAGCTACGGAAATGAGGAGATACAACTTATTGATGCCCGGAATAAGTGAAGTCCATTAGACCGAAGCTGGATAAGAAAGATTAGCTTCGAGAGAGATGCTGTTAGACTCTGGTCTGTAGAAGTAAATGCTTCGCACACGCAGAGAGATGCACTGATGCTGTCCGAAGAAACACGAAAAGCACTTATTGGATGGGAATTTCTTGGATGCAGAATTATCAAAGTGTCCTTCGAAATAGAGAAGAAAATCACAATTAAGCTTATCCAGTGTTGTGCACTCACCAATGATATCAATGACTACGATGAAGAGCAGTTTCTTCAGGCTGCAGTCGACCATATATAAGTGCTCAGGAAATGACCTGATCATCACACTACAGAGAACCAGACTGATCATTTCTTTATCATTAAAAAAATTCAGAAGATCAATGGAAGACGTGAGAACCAAGAGAGGAGCCGACTTAGAGTCAGATCACAGCCAACTGGTGGTTACCAAGATGAATCTGAAGCTTAAAAAGCACTGGACAACTGGAAAAATAGCATTATAAAGGTTCAATACAGCCTTACTTCGACATATTGTCAAACTCAACGAATTCAAGATAGCTCTCAACAACAGGTTCCGAGCCTTACAAGATCTACTGAAAGAAGGAACTAGTATGGAGAACAACTAGGAAGGGATCAAAGAAGCACTGACTTCAACAAGTCAAGAGGTTACTGACAGCAAGAAGCATCATCATAAGTAATGGATCTCTATCGAAACCCTAGACAACAGTCAAGACAAGAAGAACAAGAAGACAGCAATTAACAACAGTCGAACAAGAACAGATAAAGTCAAGGCACAAGCTGAATACACAGAAACAAGCAAGAAAGTGAAGAAGTGCTTTGAAGCCGAGAAGCAGAAATACGTGGAAGATCTAGCAATGACAGCATAAAAAGCTGTCAGAAAAGGGAATATCAAACAACTATATGACACACTGAAGAAACTGGTAGGGAAATATAGTAAACCATAAGGTGAAACACTTGGAGGAACTCTTGGATAGGTCAGCTTCTTTGTACTATTTAGACTTTGGTTAATTTTAATATGGTTATTTATTCTTTGAGGAAGTGGCTTACACTGAGTCACGAAACGTCGGAAAGTCTAATTTTTCTACTCATTGAGATATTACGGACATGTTTTTTTATTTATAACAATCTACCCAATGCTCAATTTATCTGAAATTATCAAGTCAAACCTTGGTAATGATAATTAAAACCTTCCATGTATTCATTTCACTTAGGGTTTTATGACATTTCCATACACGAATTCATTGTGTAAATATGATGGAATTTATGGGGAGTATGAAGTAATTCAGTTTAACCATTCAATGAATTATTACGTAAGAACCAAGTAAGCGGCATAGTTGGTGAAAAAATCATCCATAAAGACTTAAATGGTTAAAATGATAGTGAGTCGAACATTAATTGATTAATGTGAATAGTATGGCAAAGAAAGGAGATCTCAGAGCTTGTAAGAACTAAAATTGCATCACACTGCTATCAATACCAGGAACGTTTCCAACAGTGCTATTGAACCGGGTGGAAGGTTCATAAACGTCAAGCTTCTAGATCAACAGGCTGGATTCCATAAGGATCGGTCGTGCACAGACCAAATCGCGACACTACGGATCATCGTCGAGCGATTAATTGAATGGGACTCATCACTACACATCAATGTCCTTGAGTATGAGAAGGCGTTTAACAGCGTGGATAGCAGAACATTATGGTAACGTCTTCGACACCATGGTGTACCTGAGAAGATCGTCATCATTATCCGGAACTCATACGACGGACCACAGTGCAAAGTCGTGCATGGAGAACAGCTGACAGACGCATTCGAAGTAAGGATCGGAGTCAAACAAGACTGCTTACTCTCCCCCAATCTTCTGGATTGTGAAGACCTTCACATCTCAGGAAGCACGGTATACATTGAACAGCTCGGAGTCAATTAGAAGATTTGAACTTCGCAGATGGCCTGGCCCTTCTATCCTATACACACAAACAAATGCAGACGAAGATAGCTAGTGTAGCAGTAGTAGTGCTTAGCATACACAAGGGGAAAAGCATGATCCCCAAATACAAAATGGAGGACACAAACCGAATAATTATTGATGGGGAAACTCTGGAAGAAATGGATGCTCTCGCATACGCAGACGGCATCATCGATGAACAAGAAAGATCCGATGCACACATAAAGGCTAAGATTGGCAAAGCAAGGGCTATAATTCTACATTTGAAGAATATATGGAACTCAAAATAAAGCAATATCAAAGTGAGGATCGCCAACACATACGTCAAGACAGTTTTACTGTACAGAACTGGAACGTGCAGAACTACCACAACCATCATCAAATATGTTCGAGTATTGATAACTAGTTTTCTACACAAGATACTCAATGTTGTTTTTTCATGCTACATGCGGTGATTATGTTAATCAGTGGACCAAAATAGTATGGCACTAGTTCCCAATCGATTGGAGATTAAATGAATCGCTAAATGGTATTTTTTCTTTTGTGATATTTGAATCCAAAATATTTTTGCAATTTGTTTGTGTTGACCGAATTTAAATAATTGGGTGATGTTTCTAACTACAACACATTTTCGTCCATTGAATTTCGTTTTTGAGTTTATTGTTCTTTAGTTATGTAAGAATGTGTGGGCTAACAGTAAGTTTGTTGGAACAGTCATATCTAATTTTTTTCATAATAATACAATTTATATATTCCTTAACCGAATTCTTGGTTTTATTCGACCTTGGATACTTGCTAAGTACACTTCTGAAATTTGAGTTTTGTTAATTTTTACCCGTAGCCTACATCTATGTAGTAATCACATTTACTTTCAGTGAGTTGCATCACCTCAACGGATATAACACAACCAATCATCAAAGAGATTCTGGTAAATCTAACAATGATCGTAATTTGCCTACTACCTCATATACTCAACATTCGGATCGTGGTGCATATTGTTCATCTAATCGTATACCCAGTGATCCAATATCGTCTATCCAACACCATTGGCCGATCACAGAAAGTTATGATTTAGCTCTTGCTTGTCAACTAGTTTTACTTTTTTTACCACCTGTAATGTTTTCCCGGTTAAAAATAATGGTTGATTTATTGCGTCGAGTTCTATCAAATCATGAACGCTTAGCTTCGTGGTTGGTAAACTATGGTTCACGTGAAAATATTGAAAATAAGTCTGAAAACATTTTACCATCCGATACTCTATCATCGTTGGAAATTACATTGCATGTGGTAGGTTTCCGCATATATGACGATATCTGTTTTTTTCTTTAAAGAACATGTTTCATCTATGCTGTAATAAGTTGTTTTTACTTATTAAATGTAAATTAACTCCAATAAAGTTTATGGTACATATAGAGCAAGTGTGTGTATTTGTTACTTCACAAGAGAACTGTAGAAAATATTTCTGTTTAATTGGGTATGGAGTAATGGGTTGTTTAGGGTCCTGAGTAATAAAGAATCAAACATTGAAGAGTCTGGTTGATATGATTTAAAATCAACCTCAAATGCATGATGTAATTATTATTATTCTTTATATGCTGTGTTTACTCTTACTCATATTTCATATCTTAATATCCTTTCACTACTTTCGTTTCTCTTTCTGCACTGTTGCATTGTGTGACATCTTAAACCACTTCGTGTTAATGTAATGTGTTTGTCTGTCCTAATTACAACTGTGTATAACGATTTGTTTTAGTTTTATCTGAGGATTGTTTTTGTCCAAATGCAATGTTGTCTCATCATTTTCATGGCTTCGGTTCATTCATAAGTTAAGTTAATTCAGTCGGCTAAATTTATCAACTGCCTAACAAAAAACCATCACCACCACAACAACCGTTCATTTCTAATTAAATGATGTGCATCACTCAATGTGTTTTATTCATTTCAATTTTTTATAACCCACTGATCAAGCGTAAGTTCATGAGAATTATTGTATATTACAATTCATTTAAATTCTACTAATATTACCCGGTAACTCAAATGAAACTAAGTAGATCCTGTGGGTTCAGATTTTTACCCTACTGCCTAAAATGCTAGTTTCCCACTCATTATGCCATCTCTCTATACTTAGTATTCTAGTCACTATTAGTGCAAAAAGGTATGTGTGAAACAGATCCCGAGAGTCAAATGTGCACCGTTTCTCTTGCGAAGCCCATTTATTAGTCATATAACGAGTACTTAGTATCTATCAACAAAATCATCTATCGGTGTACAGCATTTATAGGGATAAGGTAATTAAATAAAAAATACTGCAGTTGTTCATTTAACTTCTATCTGGAAAGTTTTAATGTTTTTCATATTTTTGAGAAATTCTGATTTTTCCTCTTTTTGTAAAAGAAGAACTTTTTCTTAACCTACCATTAATATTTCATGTAATAGTTTTGTTTTAATAGCTGAATCACACGTTCTTTTCTAACATAACCTAACCTCGTCAGTTCCTTTTTAATACAAATTACCATTTGTTTGATACATGTATTAGTAGAAGTAGTATGATATCTTGACATGTGGGGTTTCTATGTCCATAATTTTCTAAAAATACATTTGTGTTTGTTATGTTAGATGGACAATGTGAATAGATTTTTTCTTTACATATGAATCTGTTGTCATTAAAAAGTCATATGAGTATTCGTTTTTTCTGTTACGAAAGAAAACGTTTCTATTATAATTATCACATTTCATGTTTTCGGTGTAAATGCATTGAATTCTGAATCATATTTTCATTAGCTTATTATTTAGTTATGACTTATGGTTCAGTAGTTATTTTATTCAGATGAGTTAGGTGTAAAATATGGTTCAAATCTGCGACCCAGTGGTCGAATGTCAAATCACCCTCTCTAGTGCACTGTAGTTAAAAGCGTGTCTTCTATTCTACCGACACTTTAAAAATCAGTAATATCTCGGTTTTTTAAATTTTTATGATATTTTATATTTCGAATATACGGTTTTATAGTTATGTAGAAATTTCAGTGTAATACAATTAAACATAAACAAATGACGAAAGACAGTATAGACGTGTATTCATTGTCTGCATAATTAAGGAAGAATCAAATTTAAATAAACTGTTACTAAACCAACAGTATCACTAACAGTAGGAAAAAAATAATGTTAATGAAGGCAAAATAAATGAGAAGTAGTAATATTAATATAAACTAGTAAAGCATACCATTTCGTATTAATTGGGGTTTTACAGTGGCTAACTGTAGATATCAGGATATTCTTTTCGTCCCTTTTGGGATTCGTCAGTTGGGTGTACCTGCATTCCAATGCTGGTGTTTACACCATGACTCTAACCCAGTAGCTTTCGCTTCGAACTACCGATGCGATAATCAACCACCCGATATTTTTTAAGACTAGTAATCTCATGGCGCTTAATCAAAAGGTTTACATTTCAGTCTGTGGTTTGATATTCTTGTTTGATGTGATCATTCCCTTTTTCATTTCCCATCAAAGCACTCATTGTGCGTGCATGCCATATAAAATAAAATTTCGTCATTTCTTTGTATCAATTTATTCTGAGATATTTACTCTTCAATATGTTTTTCCCCAAAGATTGTAAAACACTTCGGCCCACTACTTTTACGTGTATCAAGTGATTCCGCTGTCAACAAAACAACTTCACGGATTCGTTGGAGAGAATGTCTTCTTTGTTTGTTACTTTGTGACCCGGAAAACTTCCTCTTAACATCACCCAATAGTTTACAGTCTTGTTTACGATCTGTAAATAATGATAATAATACGACAAGCGATAATATTAAACCAGAACAAGAAAATATTCTACACATTGAAGAGGTTAGTATTATGTTCATTGTCAAGATTTTTTGTAGTAAAATATTCATGACTGAATCATATTAAAAATGATAATAATTTTTCACGATTATTAATCCTCTCAATTATAATTTGTCGAATTATTGTTGCTACTCGCAATCAAGTGTTTTAGTAGTATAAACCTAGTCATTCATATATTTTAGACTCCCATCAATTTTATTAATTGTAGCGAGTAACTAGCTTTCTTATTTGTTCATTTTTGATCGATTTAGCTTATTGGATTAGATGGTATCAAGTCACAGGGTTCAAGAAAGTTCGGATTTGCTCGCTCATCATCGTCATCATCTTTACCAGCATTTATTCCACCAATCAGATCAGCATCCAGTATTAGTTTAGATGGTAGATTGTCAAAATTAATTGGATCACGAGATAATCTAATCAAATTTGCATCAACTCCTACAAAAAATGGTAGAAGTAGCAGTTTACAAAACTCTCCACGTTCTACCGATACTTTTAGTTGTCGTCGTATATTTGATGAAAGTAATTTAGGTATTGGAAATCTAAGTATAAAATCACATTCTACACTTTTTATCAGTGAAGAGTCTTCCGGTCGGTTTGGTCGTTCCGGGAATTGGAGTGTAGAAAATTCTCTGATTGGTTTAAATTCAAGTATATTTTTTCAGGTATGTCCATGTTACTGGTCTTTTGGTATTAGGTCATTATTAGTTACGTTTATTATCTACATGGGAGTTTTCTGGGGTTTCGGCAACACCTTGATGGGTTTACATTCATCGTCTGACCCTATGGAAATCAGTTTTTGAAGTTGTCCGTCAGCTCTCCTTATTCACTTGTCATGAAAATCGGTAAAATGTTTTATAAATCCCATCTAGACACCGAGAAATATTAAAACTGGTGTACTATAACACAAATAAAAGAAATAATTTACCTGGAGACAGTAGTAGTAGAAAACCCCAAGCAATCCAGAACAACTGGTCGTATAATGCAGAAAATCGTTTAGTGTTGTCTTGCGTCGAAGTTTTGTTCTGAAACGAAAAAAACATTTTAAAATCAAATACTGACTGATCTTTACGATAACCCATAATCTGAATGTGGTTCGAAACTTTTTATTATCATGAAAATAAACGAGATAAGCTCCAAAAATAGTAAGAACCCAATAGTAAAATTACTGATTAATCCAATGTTATTATCGTTCACTTTAACATTCGATTAGATAGAAGAATGCTGTGTGATTTTGAAAGATTATAGTAATATGTCAAATATCAAATATCGAAAGGAAGTTATATGGCGATTGGTTATTAATTATTTCATAATGGAATACTATTGTTATATCTTTGCGCAGTCTTGACATTTGTTCAGTATTCAAATCATTTAAATGTAATCAACAATCACCGTAAAGGAGATCTGTATATAAAATAAATATTTTTAGCATAAAATATATTCGCATTTGCAGTATAGGTTTTGTCTTCTTAATGTTTGGGGATTGGATCAAGGGGTTTTGGCGCATAGTGTGGAAGAGTAATTGTAGGTGTTCGTCCAGTTCCGATCACATTTCGTTCAATAATACGTTAGGTTTTGGGTACCAAAGTGCATAGCCTGGATTTTGTCTAAACAACCTAACAATCGTTGGTATCTCGCGCTGGCTAGTGTCAGCTGGGGCAAACCATTGGTTCGTTTTGATTTTCTCCAACCAGTTTATATTTTTAAAGGTTCATGAAGCGTTTTTCATTTTCATACTTCACCATTCATGATTTTTTAAAGTAAGAATTGTAATACTATTAATTAAATGTTCCATAATTTATCCTGCTCACTTTTTTGCAATTTTTTATAGTCTGATCTAGATCCCAAACGATTAGCTGCATTAGGTAATACAGCTCATTTGATCAAGCTTTTAAATCAGATTCTCAATGACCGTGACATGAATCCACGTAGAAAAATGAAATGTCTTCAAGATGTAAGTTAAAATTAATTTTGTTTACGAAGTACTGTTGTTTCCTACCATTTCGTTTTCGTATAAAAAATATATATTCTGAGGTGATGTAATACGAACGATAGTTTTTCTCAGTGTATTCAACAGTCAGGAATTACGTTTGTCATTCACTCATAATTATCTTACTGTTAAGAATTTACAAGAATTAATCCGGAAAGTTTTCTCATTTATACATTTGTTATTTAATTTTCGCTACTTGTTTACATCTTTCAATGAACAGTTTCGGAAATCTCATCCAGATGTGTATTGGTTACGCTTTGGTACTGAAGAAAAAGCATCCAACTATTTATCCCGTTTACAACGTCGTATCGATTCACAAACTCAACCTAGTGTTTTTGAGCGGATTACAAATGCACTACGTCGTCGACTTCAGAGTCCCGTCAAGCAACAGGATTAGCATCACGACAGCTCTTGTACTTTGTATTTCGATTGTTTCATCTAAACATGTGAAAAATTTATTCGACTGTTACTTTTCTTGTAAATGGTCGTATATATCGTCTAATATTTTTTAATCAGATTATAGATCACTATTTTTCTAAATGTTTGACTTTATGTTAGATGAGGTATAATATGTAGTAATTTACTATTGATATATTCATTAAAAGCGTCAGTTTTAATTGGTTCTTAGTAACAGTGTTTCCCAACTTCGTATTCGGACGATTTCAACTTACAAATTAAGCATATAACCTGAGATATTTCTCGAAGAATTTATCACTATGTATATAAAGCGTGAATTGTTATAACTTTGGACTTCATAATTATCACTTAAGTCATTTTACACAGCAGTCAGTACTCATATAGCTATAGAGATACACGAACTTCCAGACTATTTCAGAAACTTATCGGGAAGGATGAGTACAAACAGGTTGCTTCTAATATTGGGGAACTTTACGTTTTAATATTGGTATGGCATTTCTGCACCTATCGGCTGTGATTGAATAAGTGATGTGACAACGTTCAGCAAAATGATAATTTGCCCACTTTTTCCGCCCTAATTACAAATGTTCGTTGGGATGTATTCAATCCCAAGAAACTTGATAGTTTTCGCCAATGTATATTTTATTATTATAGTCTACATGTTGAACAATCAACCATTTATATGAAATGTAAGATCTGGTACATATATGGATTGGTTAAAGTTGCTACACCCCATAAGGGCAGCGAGATAAAATTGTCAGGGGAAATCCCGCCAGTAGTAGGGTTAACGGTAAGATAAAAGATTAGGCATTAAAGATACGATTCCAGGATATATGAATTAGTGAAGTAAAAAAGTTTATGAAGAATATGGAATCTTAGGATCTAAGGGAAGACAAAGAATGAATGCACCTGCGCCATCGCGAATGATTCTAAGCCGTGCCACTCAAAATCTCTAACCATTGGTTACGAAAAGCACACACCACCCGGCAGTTTGCATTTATTTACAATAGTTAACCCCAACAGTCAGTGTTTTCCGCTGGGCCTTGGTTTGATCACTCTTAGCTTTTTTTAAACGTACTACATCAGTCATCCTCGTGCATGAAGGTAGACGGTCGATAGGCTGCTTTAGTATGTCCCGACCACCTCAGTTGACGAATATATGCAGCTTAGTTTTTTTAAATCTTATGTCCGGTGTGTAACCTTAACATCGTTCACTCGAAGGTCCCAACAGTCTATAGGAGTGTTTCGAAGGCTTCTATGATCAAATAGTAGTAACCTACAAATATCCTCTATTTTTAAGGGTCATATTCCACAGCCATAAATTAAAACAGCGAATTATTGAACAGTATACTCGTTGTGGTTGCTAAACGAACATCTTGCTTCAGCTACAAGTGACGTTACCCAGCCGAGACTTCTGACTCTACATAGATTTCACCAGGCCACTAAAGCTGATGAGACTACCAAGGTTAATTAAAGTGATCAACACGCTAGATAAACACAACGCCTATCATTAAGTTTAGACATTGAAGTAGATCAATCATGAAACTTTTTGTATTTAGGAGAGACACATTCCAAACATGGTTGACCAATCGCAGAACTGCATTTTGTCAGCGTCTTCAGCAAATGGGAATATGTATTCTAAATCTGGTACACCAATCTTTGAGAAGTTATATGAGGAAGTATGTATGTGATAAGGTTGAATAAAATTCGGGGGAGTGATCAAGGCTAACACACATACTGCTTGATAACAGTTTACTTAGACTCGAAAAATGGTGTTTGAGTGAAGAGCCCGTACATGGTTGGGTTTATCTTGGTATGCTTCTCAGTGCAGACACTTCAACAAAACCTCACGATCAGCGGAGTTGGATGTTATTGAGGTGAAGGAATAAAATTATAGATGAGCGTCGGTACGTGTGTCTATTCCTTGAAACCTGAGGAAAAGTGAATACTTGCTCATGACTTCCAAGTTCAGGTTTAAAACTACCTTGGTTCTCCTGTGTCTGTTCTTTAAGAACTTTAGTTGAATGATGGATGATTATAGAGGCTAGTGTGTTAAACGCTACATGCCTCTTCTGTTACAAGAGGGTCTCTATCCTTTCCTACAATCTGGAACGTTCAGCCAGATAGGATTATGTTCAGTTTCCAAACTCCCGCTATCTCACTGTTATGATTTGGTCCATCGTTGGAGATCACCTCGTCAGACGATGTTTCTCCTTCAACTTAAAGTTAGTGGGTGCTCGAAAGAAACGGTTGTCTGGGCAATGTTGCAGGATCCGGTTCCCCATTATATATTTCGTAAGCTCGGATACAGTAATACACACCTGTGTCTTCTAGTATTGTATAGTATACCCACCTGGGCGTTAAAGCCCCTCAGTACAGTTATGACATTCAGCGTTTAGGTTATTAGAGGGAAACAAGTTTTCTGCGAAACTCACCTTACTTGGCCAGAACTGCAGTGTAGGAAGCTATTTCCTACAGGTTCACCTCTAAGCTATTCCCTAGACTGTCGAACAGAGTCTTGGTTCAGCCAAAGTCAGAACAAGTAAGCTACTTGGCTTGATAAACTTTATTTCAAAAATATAAATTAGCACCGTTAGTGTACAAAAACAAACAGTACAGTCTATTAACACAGGGAAAAACAGAAACATAAATAGCATACCGAACAGTAGCTAGAGGAGAGGAAAAATGGGTCAACAAAGCAAATATCGTTTTATAATGAACATCAAAATGTGATTAATTACGCCGCCAACCAGCATTCTCTAACCCACTCTGTTCTGGGCCTTCTTTTCTAGTTCCATCCAATTCTTGTTCGTTTTCCTCATGTCTATTTCCATTTCCCTGCGTAATGTGTTCTTTGGTCTTCCTCTCCTCTTTTGGCCTTCAGGATTCCATGTGAGGGCTTGTCTTGTGACGCAGTTGGGTGCTTTCCTCAATGTGTATCCTATCCACTCCCAGCGCTTCTTCCTGATTTCTTCCTCCACTGGGATCTGGTTTGTTCTCTCCCACAGCAAACTGTTGCTGATAGTGTCTGGCCAACAGAACCGAAGTACCTTGGGTAGGCAACTTTTAATAAACACCTGTATCTTCTGGATGATGGCTTTCGTAGTTCTCCAGGTTTCTGCCCCATACAGTAGAACTGTCTTGACATTTGTATTGAAAATCCTAACCTTGGTGTTGGTTGACAGTTGCTTTGAGTTCCAGATGTTCCTCAGTTGTAAATATGCTGCTCTCGCTTTATCGATTCGCGCCTTCACATCTGCATCAGATCCACCCTGTTCATCAATGATGCTGCCCAAATATGTAAAGGATTTTACATCTTCCAAATCTTCTCCGTCAATTGTGATTGGGTTGGTGCATGCTGTGTTGTGTCGGAGAACCTTGCTTTTCGCTTTGTGTATATTGAGACCTACTGCTGCTGAGGCTGCTGCTACACTGAACGTTTTCTCCTGCATTTGTTGTTGCGTTTGGGATAGAACGGCCAGATCATCTGCGAAGTCCAGATCGTCCAACTGCATCCTAGATGTCCATTGTATCCCGTGCTTCCCTTCAGATGTTGACGTCTTCATGATCCAGTCGATCACCAGGAGAAAGAGAAAGGGTGAGAGTAAGCAACCTTGCCTAACACCGGTCTTCACTTCGAACTACCTTGTCAATTGTCCTCCATGCACGATTTTGCAGTTTAATCCATCATAGGAATTCCGTATGATATTGACTATCTTCTGAGGCACGCCGTAGTGTCGAAGAAGTTTCCATAGTGTTGTTCTGTCCACGCTATCAAATGCCTTTTCGTAGTCAATGAAGTTGATGTAGAGTGATGAATTCCATTCAATTGATTGTTCCACAGTGGTCCGTAGAGTTGCGATTTGGTATGTACACGGTCTGTCCTTACGGAATCCTGCCTGTTGGTCTCGAAGTTGGGCGTCTACACAGTCCTTCATTCTGTTTAACAATACTCTGTTGAAGACTTTTCCTGGTATTGAGAGAAGAGTGATGCCCCTGTGGTTGTCACAGTTGCTGAGATCCCCTTTCTTCGGTATTTTCATCAGAAGTCCTTCTTTCCAGTCTTTTGGTACTTGTTCTCCATCCCAAATCTTATTGAAGAGAATGTGGAGTATCCTTGCAGTTGCCGCTACGTCTGCTTTCAGTGCCTCTGCTGGGATGTTGTCCGGTCCTGCTGCTTTGCCACTCCTGATTTGTCTGATGGCCATGCTGATTTCTTCAATTGTTGGTGGGTCAACATCGATTGGAAGGTCCATGGGTGCTGCTTCGATGTTGAGTGGGTTCTGTGGGGCTGGTCGATCAAGAGTTCTTTGAAGTGTTTCGCCCACCTGTTTTGTTGCTCTTCAATGTTGGTGATTACCTCGCCTTCCTTGCTTTTCACTGGTCGTTCTGGTTTGCGGCGATTTCCAGAGAGTTTCCTTGTCGTGTCATACAATTGTCTCATGTTTCCTTCTCTTGCAGCCTTTTCCGCGGTCGTTGCTAAATCTTCCACATATTTACGTCTGTCGATTCTTATGCCCATCTTCACTTGTTTGTTTACTTCTGTGTATTCAGCTTGTGCCTTGGCTTTTTCTGCTCTTGTTCGACTGGTATTGATTGCTGCCTTCTTGTTCCTCCTTTCTTGAATCTTATCCAGTGTATCAACAGTGATCCATTCCTTGTGATGGTGCTTCTTGTGACCCAGGACCTCATGACATGTTGAAGCGATTGCCTCTTTGATCCCCTTCCAGTTGCTCTCCACAGTAGTTCCTTCTCCATTGAGTAGATCATGAAAGGCCTGGAACTTGTTGCTGAGGACTATCTTGAATTTGTTGAGTTTGTCAGTGTCCTGAAGAAAGGCCATATTGAACTTTTGTGATATTTTCCGCCCCATTGTCCAGTGCTTCTCGAGTTTCAATTTCATCTTGGCGACCAGCAAGTGATGATCTGATGCTATATCAGCTCCTCTCTTGGTTCTCACGTCCTCTACAGTCCTCCTGA